ACTACACTTGAAATAAAATGAACAATTTTTATTTATTTTTATCTTAACACCCAATGTACAAAAGTGTACTGTACATTGTACCTTTCAGTCTTCACCTTTTACAAAGATTTGATTTGATCACCTTAATCTTGATAAGGCATATCGAAAGTTTTTGTAAAGAAAATGTAGGATTTATTATCTCGAGTCATCTCATTATCCACAAAGATCATTAAGTTTATTGTTTACTTTACTTGCATGTGCTTAAAAGTTTCTTCATTTGTCAAAAAATCCACATCTTTATTGAATCATATTTGACTATAATAAATAATAACGCACAATATATGACATTAAAGCTATAAATAAAATAAATATTTCTTGAACCCGAGTTTTGATTACGGCTTTAACTTTAATGACAAATAAGTTGAATAACAGTAGTAAGCAAACTCTTAGAGCATGTTTGTTTATAAATTTTTTTGGTTTTGTTTGATTTTTTTGTTTGATTTGGTTAATTTTAAAAAATGTGGTATAGTTAGTTGTTAGTAGGTATATTAAAAGAATATTAAAAATAAAATAACTAAAATTGATTTGATGTAAAAGTAGTAGAGAGATGATTGGAAGTAATGGTTAGTTAAAATAATGTGAGTGAATGAATAGTGAATCAAGGTTAATGTAGTGTGTATGAATGATTAATTGATATTATTGATGATAATGGGGTTAGAGTTAAAGTTAAATTTAAAAAAATAGTTGAGATAAAATATTGAAATTTTTTCAAAAATTTCTAGAAACAAACATGCTCTTAATACTCGAGTTTGAGATCAAAGTCCTTTATTGAACCAAGCTTAACTAATTAATTATCTTGAGATTGAGCTCGGATCATTAAAAATTTAGAAAAACGAGCTTTAAATAATCTCTCCTAATTCACGAGCAATTCATTTTGTTTAACACAGCTACAAGACATTTATAATATGTAATTTATTTAGGGTAAAGTCCACTTTTGGTCCTCCATGTTTAGGGGGTATCCAGACTGAGTCCCTATTATGTTTTGATGTCCAATTTTAGTCCTTAAAACAAAAAAATGAGTCCCTATTATGTTTTGGTGCCAATTTTAGTCCTTAAAACAAAAAAATGAGTCCCTATTATGTTTTGGTGCCCAATTTTAGTCCAAAAAAAATGTAGTCCCTTTACCTCAATTTCTGTGAATTAACGGTCCATTTTTGCTCGACTGTGATGTTCTTTATTTTTTTTAAAATTTGTTGATTAATGTCAACTTTGATCAAAGAAAAATAAAAGAAAATTTAAATGCTGAAAATATATTAATAAAAAATTAAACTAAAACAAGAAATTGCACTAAATTAAATTAAAATTTTTGCTCGTCTGATTTCTATTTCCCTAGCATTCGCGCTGCGGAGCAAGCCTGGAATCACAGCTAATGCTCTTGCACTCATTTCCGGGTCATGCCATCGAAAAAAATTGCACCTATCAACCCTCTGTTTTTTAACCATTTCTTATCATATTCCAATTGAAGTTCACGGAAAGTACTTACAGGATATAGAGGGCAACTCAAGAATCTTCTCCCGAGATTATCATCCTTCCAGCATGTAGTCAACTTTGCAACCAGCTCACCTCTACAAAATACCACACCATTTCCATCCATTTGATCGGATTTAGTCCCTAGGAGGTTAGGATTTTTTTTTTTACGTTTCACTGCAATTCACTATTTCTGTCTTTTATTTTACTTTTTCAGCATTTAAATTTTCTTTTATTTTTCTTTGGTCAAAGTTGACATTAATCAACAAATTTTAAAAAAATAAAGAACATAACGGTCGAGCAAAAATGGACCGTTAATTCACATAAATTGAGGTAAAGGGACTACATTTTTTTATTTTAAGGACTAAAATTGAGCATCAAAACATAATAGGGATTAAGTCTGGATACCCCTAAACATGGAGGACTAAAAGTGGATTTTTTCCAATTATAGGGACTACATTTTTTTGTTTTAAGGACTAAAATTGGGCACCAAAACATAATAGGGACTCAGTCTGGACACCTCCTAAACATGGAGGACCAAAAGTGGAACTTCCCCATTTATTTATGTAAGTATTGATTTTGACGTAACCTAATGAATATCAAATAAATATTCTAATTGAAACTAGCTTTGTTGTTGTTATTGAATTATGAATTATGAACCTTGAGTTTGAAGCCGGTCCGCAGATTCACTTGTTCTTATTTATTAATTTTTAATTCCCAATGAAAATGATGCCTTCTAATTCATACTATGTCTGTCACGTTATATTAAACAATAATATACATACAATCACGCAATAATGTTCCCCTACCTACTACACTATAAACCATATCATTTCATAGAATGAGACTTCTTAATTGAAATATTTTCTATTTTTACAACTAATCCACAATTTTTACTAGTGACAATAATCAAATTTCAGAACGAGGACTCAATTTACCTAATTGTGTGGACATATTTTTTCTATTAATTATAGTGACAATAACACTTTAACAACATTCTTAAATTAAATATTTGTAATACATGTATCGGTGTTTTACTTAGCTGTGTGTCAGATTAAGATATTTTTTCTATTAATTATAGTTAATTTTAAACAACATTCTTAAATATTTATCATTATGAGAATACATGTATCGGTGTTTTACTTAGCTGTGTGTCAGATTAAGATATTCAATACTTTTTCCCTCATCAAGTATAAAAATTCAAAATGTACGCGTCTCTAGCAGTAATAATAAATTGTAAAAAAAAAAGCAACAATAGTAATAAACTAATAATAGCATAATTTTATTTTACATAAATTATAAGATTACACTAAAAATGTGATAATGTGTTATGTGTATAAATATTTGTAATATCTGGGCGCATGCGCGAGATGCACATATAATTTCCTTTATCCTTTTGTTCTCTGCCGTAGGCCTCAGAGTCAAACCGCAGTTCTTCCCTTTTTCAAGAATTTAAAAGAAAAAAAATAAAATAAAATCTCTCTCTTTTTGTACCTATATAATTTATTGCAAGATAGTCCCCCTAATTCTATTAATTCATATTGCGACTGTTCTTGTTCGTCTTCTTCATGCTCTGATCAAAGTTCATCAATGGAGTCCGCTCGTCCCCCACCAGCAGCTCCAAACAAAAGCAAATTATCCCAAACGCTTAAAAGAGCGATTCTCCCCAAAAAGTCCACGAAAAATCCCTCGTCCCCCGCCGGATTCTGCCTTCCGATCATCGCCGACGGTAAGAAAGCGAGATGCTTTTTCGAGTCCCACCGGAAGCACCTGGAGAGAGAGAGCGCGGAGGAGGTGGAGGAGTCCAGGGCGAGAGCCTTCGTGGCCAGGCTCTTCGCCGCCGTCTCCTTCATCAAGGCCACCTACGCCGAGCTCCAGACGGCGCAGCTACCGTACGACGCCTCCGCCGTGAAGACCGCGGACCAGGCTGTGGTCGACGAGCTGAAGTCGCTCTCGGAGCTGAAGCGGCGGTTCCTCAAGGACCAGATCGGCTCCTCGCCGCCGCACGTGACGGCGATGCTGGCGGAGATTCGGGAGCAGCATGCCCAGATGAAGATCTACGAGATCACGATGAGGAAGATGCAGGGAGAGATCGAAAGGAAGGGGCAAAGCGCGGCCGCGCTCAGGGAGGAGCTGGCGGAGCTCGCCCGGAACAACCGGGCGGCGGAGAAGAAGATTGCCGCCGCCGGCGGGTCGTCCTCGGTTCTCGATAACATCGGGTTTTCGGACTTCAATCCGACCAATTTTGTTCTGGTTTTGCGGTACGCCTTGAAATCTGTCCGCAATTTCGTTAGGGTTTTGGTTAGGGAGATGGAGGCGGCGAATTGGGACATCGGCGCCGCCGCTAACGCGGCGGAGCCCGGCGTGGCGTTTGTGAAGAAGGATCATAGGGCCTTCGCTTTTGAATCGTTCGTTTGCAGAGAGATATTTGCAGGGTTCGATAGACCCAGTTTTTCGATCGAGGGTGACAATCGATTTCCAGCCGGCGAAACTCGCCGGCGGCGGGCCTTCTTCGAGGATTTCCGGCGTCTGAGATCGGTGGGGGCGGCGGAGTATCTCGATCGGAACCCTAATTCGGCCTTCGGCGAGTACCTGAGGTGCAAGTACCTGAAATTGGTCCACCCTAAAATGGAATTTTCGTTTTGGGGGAACTTGAGCCGGAGGAAGACGGTGGGCTCCGGGGGATTTCCGGCGGGGGAGTTCTTCACGGCGTTCGCCGAGGTTTGCCGGCGGGCCTGCCTCCTTCACCTCCTGGCGTTCTCGTTCGAGGAGGAGGTCCGGGTATTTCGGGTGGGAAGAGGTTCCAGGTTTTCCGACGTGTACATGGACGGGGTGGCCGACGGCGGGGCCCGGGTGGCATTCACGGTGGTGCCGGGGTTCGAGTTTTCCCGGACGGTGGTGCAGAGCCAGGTATATCTCTTTCCACGGTAGGCGCCCCGACGGCTGAGACATTTTTTGAGAAACTTTTGGTCCTGCCCGTCGAACACGCTCCGGGCGGCAGCGGCGCGTGTGGTCAAAGTCAAACAGTGGAGTGGACTCAAATTTGGTGGGGCCCCACACGCGAAATCAATTCGGGATTTTTTAATTCGAACTGGATTCTGGATTGGGGGCCCAGGGATTTAAAAACGTTTTAGTACTATTTTGCAAGTTAATTTATATTTTTGGTGGCGGGGAAAAATATTGAAACGGATATAAGTTCTGTTTTTCTGCTAAATGTATAATTGAAGAAAGATAGATGAAGGTATAATTAATTAAGTTGTATTATAAGTCACTTTA